CCTTTTGTCACGCTGACAGCTTCTGAAAAATCCCTCCCTTCAGTGTGAAAGGATATCAAATGTTATAGGGCGAATATCGTTGCATTGACATAAGGGTTTTCTGCTTTCTTCCTGGGTGTCTGTTAAGCCTTGCCGTACGTGCAGGATAGTACATGTGGAAATAGTAATTGCAAGCCCATTATTATTATTGCTATAATTTATTATTAGTGTGTTTTTTATTTTATGGTGCCCACGTGCGCAGGTAATTCACAGCGTACACTTACGCCATTGGAAGGTGGGAAGGCTTAGTTAACTGCAGTAGCCTTGGATCCAGTTTTGATAACTGTGTCTACCATAAAACTTCCTCCCTTGACTTCAGGCAAATCACTTTGGGGCAGCTTCAGACACCCCTGTTGTATTGAATAGCGCTTTGGGAGTGATTCAGCCCTGGAAGAACCGTGCTGTTCGTTTTCAGTGAGGGGCAATTGGTTCAGACCCTCTAAAGTCTGTGTGCACCTGACCCTTTTCTAGCCAGTGCAATAGCCTTACCACTCTGCAGTGGGGCGAGGGATATGAGTAAGTCAGACGCTTAAACAGTTATGAGTTGCTGACTGCGAGATAAGCCAGATATGAAGGCAGATAAATATCTGTTTCAAAGAGGTTACCGTCTAAATAGAAAGTACACAACAAATATGATTGTCTTCTATCTTACAATAACGACCGCAGTTCCTGCCTACTAACTGGTACTGGAGAAGGCTGACACGGCTTTAATGGCCTTGCTCTCGCAGGGGTATGAGGATGTCTTATCTAGATTTGGGGAAAGCATCCGAGGCTCTGGGTGCTGAATCAGTCGGTGGGTCCCACCTTTGCAAAGGGGATGATGGAGCGGTGCTTACGTTACATCAGAAGCGCTCATCAAAAGGAGGTGTCTTGGGGCTGCGTTCGGGCTGCCTGCTTTGGCCTGTAATAGATGAGGAAGACCAATGCCAATTACCAGCGAGCAGTGACGCTAAGCTGGGCTTAGGCGAGGAAGGCTGCAGCCAGAGTCCTGCCCGACCAATGGCATCTGACCGTCAGTCCATTGAATCAAGCGTGGGTCAGTCGGTCTGTCGGAAGGGTATGGCCTTCCACGCAGAGAAATGAGAGCTGCTAAGGTGAATCTTTCCAACTTCCTCATGTAAGGCTGGCTTTTTACAGCTTTGCAATATGTCTGCAGGATGTTTTCATGAGCCGAATGTTTGCCAAAAGTTCACAGATCAGTTACAAAACAGATGTACTTTTTTTTTTTCCTCCCCTGCTTCCTACTGGTAAGGAAGAGTTTGTGCAGTAATTGCAGGCAGGTTGGGAGATGTTTTCTTCATAATTCTCCTTCTTATGAAATGTTTATGAAACACCTTCCACAAATCGGTTACGCAAGCAAGCTGAAGAGCTTTGATCATTTTCCATCGCCCTCAATATGTTTCTTAGTTTGTTTTGCTTTTTGTTTTTGTTTTTAGGCCAGAGATAGGTAAGAAACAATCCATCCTTGGCCAGGCCCAGCAGATGTGCCAGCCAACTAAGGAAAGGACTCTCTTTCCATCCAGTCACCCTTCCTGTGTTTTTCACTCTGATTGCTTGGGGGCAGCTGACCCTATTTTAAGGCTGTGAAAACATCCACTTGAGATTTGCAAGGGTGATTCCTTTCCTATCCCGGAGAAGCCCTAGGTAGCTCTACATGCCGTACGGGTGCCGCCACCTGCCGTTACCTGCTCGGGAGGAGCTCAGAGCGGCTCCCAGCCCTGCCTGGAGACTCCCCTCCAGCCCAGGGGGAAGAAGGTGCCCGTAGATTCGCAGCTGGCAGCCCAGGCTCTGCACCCCTCCCTAACTGTCAGCGAGCAGAATGTGTTTGCAGTGCATTACTTGGTCCCGCTGTTTTACGAGTTTGTTTTTCCTTAGATGGTGTTACATCCCCCAATCAAATTCAACAGGAAGAAACTTAGGTTTGCTCCCAATGACTTCTTGTTCCCCATTCCCCATCTGGCCTGACTGTCGTGTAAAACCAAGGTCCTGAGGAACCACAGTGGGATCTGGTCCTGGTTTTAAGTAAATCACTGTCGCTCACTTGCGATGTTTCAGCAGGGTTCTCATCAAATACCTACATGAGGTGATTCTGTGATAATTTCATCATTTTTTGGTTCCTTAATGAAAACTTTTCTCATATTTGTAGAAAACGCCTGCAAATACAAGTCAGATGCACTGGGAAAGGAGAAGGCAACTCCTCCCCTTGTTTTATTAATTTGAAATTTACATTATTTTAAGGGAGTCTCATGATATTGAGTGGCCTCGCCCACAATGTGTGTGGTTTTTTGGGGTTTTGGGTTTTGGTTTTTTTAATGTACAGTTGGCAATACTGCCGGTTTAGCCAGGGAAAAAATGAAGGTGCAGGATTTGCATAAACCATCCCAAAAGTTTTGGATATACCCCGAACTCTCACTAATGAACAATTAGCCAGCTGCAGGCCTGTTGGGGAGAGGAAGAGGAGGGAGAGGTAAATTTAAGTCTAAACCCAATGAAAATAGGTGCAGGGGAGAAGGATTTGTCAAGAACACCCAGGTTCCCGCCCACTGCGCAGGAGGGAGCCAGAGAATTCCAGGGACGGGGGAAGGAGCAGTGGGAGATGTTGTTGTTTTTAAATCGGGAACCAGTCCTTTGCCAAACCCACCTCCCGTTCTCATATTGTGCGATGCCGGGATGCAGCTACACACCCCTTTCACCCTGGAATGCTTCCAAATCATTCCGCTTGGCAGCTGTAAAAATTGATTTCAGTTTGGAAATGGCTTGTGCTTCTTCAACACTCCACTCCTATTGGGATCATAACTTAGGCGGGATCAAGTGCCTTGTTCTCTAAGACGCGGATAACTTTTCTTTTTGGGACTGTTCAGACTTGAATGACTGCGTTGTGTGAGGCAGACACACATGAATTGCAAGCAGGGGGACTTTATTTATTTTTTTAATTTATTTTTGCTTTTTGGCTCGGATGACTTTTTTTAATGCGCCCTCAGAAAGAAAAACGTGCGTGAAACCATTTGCCTGCAGTGGCTGGATGGCTCAGGGGTAACGGTGTATTCTTCTGAGCCTTTTGTCTAACATTTAGTAACTTAGACACTATCCGCATTGATAGTGATCAAGAAGATCTTTCCATCTGATTTTTTTCGCCAGGCTAAGAGGGATGATCATGCCAACCTGAAAGGTAGGAAAGAACTGGAATTCATAGCATGTATAACTCTTGTTGCAAGGAGCTAGTACTATTGCAAAACTAGTTTCGGCAGTGTCCAGAGCTATAGCTGTAATGAAAGGAGATGTTGTAATTCTGTTCCCTCTGCATAGCACCTTCCAAAATGCAGAGGTTAATGTTACAGGGCCAGTTCCCTGCACTGCAGCTGGGAGCCTCTTGTGATCGCATTTTCTCCTTTGCTTCTGTGGAGATTTGTGTATTTGTTTGCTTTAGTCAAAGTGAAATAAAGCCTTCCTCAACCAAAAATATTTGCTTGGGCCATTGTTTTTAAAAGCTGAATTTCTTGTCCCCCTCTGCTGGTAGGAGGTTGTATGACCTAAAGTCCACATCAGCACTGCAAAACCCCGGCAAACGCGACCCCACTTGTCTTCTGGGGGATGTTGGGCTGAGTTGTAATTTCATGGGAGATAGTGAGGTTCAGCCCTAGTAGTAAAAGTGAATCTGCAATGCTGAGCCCGTGGATGAGGTTTCCAAGACCTGTCCTTTCTGGTGTCCTCCTGGTTTTTCCAGTTTGTGAAAACCAGAGCCTCCTCTTGCACTGGAAGGGGTTAGATGAGGAATGGGACTGATGATGTGAGCCTTGTTCCAGGCATTCTCACTCTTAGAAAAAACTTGAGCCTAGGTTTGGAAATTGTTTGCTTCGATCTTTTCTTAGAGCAAATGTGTTGTAAGAGCTCTGTATGATTTTTCTGTCTCCTGTGCGTGGCATCTGCGCATAGACGCTCCTCAGATTTCAGGAATTAACCTAAAAACTTCTAAAATCTCCCAAACCAGGTTCCCCTCTCTCCTGTCCCAGTCAGCCTTACCAAAGGGTTTCATCTCGTACAAAGTGATGTAACAGGGCTTTTTCTCTTTTTTTTAATGTAGTAGCAATGTTAGAAATTAGCATGGAGACTATGGAATAAACCAGATGCAAGTATTCAGTTCTGGTCCCTGGGTAAATTCTTCTCTTAAGAATGTGGACTTGGAAATCATGACTTTTTTTGTAGATGGGAATCTTTCTTGAACATTAAAATAGGTCAAAATGACCACTGGACAAAGGGATGACACCTCTGAAGTTTTCCAGGTCTTTTTCCACAGCGTGTTCTAGCTAAGGAAGTAGATTTTTCCTTGCCAGACCAGTACAATTTCTTGTTGTTTTCTGGTAGAAGCTGAGCAAATATGTTTGGTGCCTGGGGTGCTGCATTTTCAAGTCTGGAAGATTTCACTGCTTTTTGAGGTCTTTTACTTCATGACCTTTCTTTTCCCATCCCCTTGTACCATTCTTTGCTACCTGCAGAACAAAATGAGAAGCTGTCTATAGCCAACCCTGCCATCAGGTTGTGAGCCGTGATCTATAAAGGAGAATTGCTTCGTGTCTTCCTTATAACTCCACAGAACGCCTCAGTGTTTTGTCCGAGGAAAGCACTCACATGCTTTAAACCTTGCAAAGTCACTGGAACTTGGTTACTTCCTAAAATGTTTTAATTAATGCATTTTAATTGAGCAAACTGCAAGCCTCCCCTTGGCTTGGCAGAGCAGGAAAACTATGTCCATGCTAGAAACCGGAGAGCAGAAGTGGGGAACGACCATGCCTTTCTGCAAAGACAGGGATGGAAGCAGTGAGTCCTGACTTCTAACTTTGCTCTGACTTCTAACTGAGACCCTTCCCGACCCCTTCCAGCCTCTCAGACTCCTAGCTGCCCCAGACCTCCTGCATCCCCTTGTCTCTGCTCCCTAATGCCACGATTACTTTGCTCTTTTTCAGATTAAAACCGAAGACCTCAGTGACTCCTTGCAATCTACAATCCCCCCTAGGTCAGGTCACCTTGTGCAGGGATCATCAATGATGCCTGGAAGCCAAATCGCGGGGGTAAGTGACTTTGCTGCTTCAGGAATCCAGAAGTCTGAAATGGCACTGATTAGAGAACCTCTGGAGAAGAGGCTGGTTTTTTGACACTTGCCAAATTATGTATGCCTTTTTTGACCATGGCAAAAGGAGACTTGGGAGTATGATGGACACAAAATTGGAAAAGTGAGTATGTGTTGGCAAAATTCAGCTTCCTCCTCAGCCTCTTTCTTTTCTGCAGAAAGTTTTACATGGGTTCAAAGGTAGACTGGACACATACTTGGAAGAGATATCCTTTGAGGGTTTACTAAGCAGGCAAACCACATGATGCTCAGGAAATCCCTTGAATTGAAAATAATTGGAGACTGAGACAACACCAAGGGGAAGTATTACATATGCTTGCCCTGGTCTTCCTCTTTCATGAGCGTCTGGTTAATGCCATTGTTGGAGATAGGATTCTAGGCTAGATTAACTCTTGATCTTAACCAGTATAGCCATCCTTGAATATATTGCCTCAAATTGATTTACACCAGAGAAGAAATTAATTCCTTGAGGGGATTTTTTTTTTTTTGCCTAAGGTATAAAAAGTTGGAGTTTAGCACTTAACTCTTGTTAAATTTGAGTGGGATTTAGATGCCAGAAGGCCACACAGCTGCTCAGTAATCTCTTCCCTCATTCTTTTGTGAGGTATTCAGATCCCTTACACAATTCAGGGACTGTTCAATTTCCCCAAAGCTTCAAAACAGTTCTTGAGAAGCTCAAAGAGCTCATCTTATTGAGTAATGGGTTCCTTTAAAAATGTACCTCTAAAGAGAGTTGGTCTTATTGGGGCTTTTTTTTTTTTTTTTTTTTTTTGGTGTCTATCCCAAGCAAATGGAAACTCTTATCCCATAATACCGACAAAGGACCTGGGACTGGGACACCTGTAATGTGAAAGAGCGCTAGGATGTAATCCTCATATCTCAGTACTATTGCCGGCTCTGCTGGATGCATGGTGGGGAATTCCTGGCAGCTACGTAGCAAAGAACAGGAAACATTTTTGGATCTGGTCACTGTGTCCATTGCAATGCGTTTGCTGTTGGTGCAGAGAATCAGGTGCTGTTGGGCGTTGCTTCTTTCCCATGTTGGCACACGGCTGGCTGGGAAATCAGCCTTCTGTGGAAAGCAGGCTCTCGGTGTTCGTGAGGTGGGACAGTCAGCTGCACTTTCCTGTGTAATTTTAGGAAGTTCACTCTCTGAAAATACACTATCTGGAAGAAACTGAAATCCAAGAGGTTTCACTGTTGCTTCTAACAACCAGGTTTTGATTGCCAGTGCCTCAAAAATGTCATTTTTCAGGAACTGACTTTTTCAGATAGAAGTGGACAATTCTGCATGTGTGTGCGCAGAATTCTTCTTATACAGCTGGAAACTTCAGATCCTGGAGTACCTCTGGATCTGTAGCTCTCCAGTGCATGAATTACACAAATGCGGTGTGTTGGCAGTTAAGTGGAAAGCGTGAATGGGGTCAAGGACAGTATAAAAGAGCAGGGAAGCTTTATAGGAGAGGTGATGCTGTGTGAAAAGCAGACATCTCTGAGTTTTGTTGTTCCCTTTGCTTTTTCCCATAGGACATGAGCTCTCTTCACACCCTGCAGCAACTTGTATTGCTTCCTGGTCATATGCAGTCAGTTCCCCAGTTTCTTCTGTCTCAGTCTCAGGCCGGGCAACAAGGTAAGAGCAATAAAAGCTGAAAGGGTCATTGTTATAAGCAGATACATATCTAGGGAAAAGCCTCCTTCCTCATGGCTATTGCTTCTAATCTGGTCTGTTACGTTTTCCCAGCATGATGGTGCCTGTTGCCCTGCTGTGTTACCAGATGCATTTTCCCCTACTCTTCCCGTGCTTGCTCCCACCCCTGGGATGATCCCAGCAGCTGCTCCGGGAAAGGTCCAGTTCAGGAGGTGCTCCTGGCATCTGTGGCTTGTGTGCGCCAAGAGTGCCACCTTGGGGCCAGACTTTGCAGACCTGGTAGGGATCCCACCCCTGAAATTCAGGGCAGCATCTGGTTGGCTTTCAGCAAAACAGCAAGGAGCCTGCTCCTTGGGGAGCAGTTGTAGCCTGCCTGGGCTTCCAGCCTCACTGGGTTAGCACTCTTAATTTCTTCCAGAAAACTGATGAGAGGTTGAGCTGATCTCTCGAGGTACCTTTAGAGGGAGAGTAAATCCAGGGAAGGAGTTGAGCTGCTCTGGTGGAAGGACGATGCTGGCACTAGAACAAACAGATCTAACCTAGCCAGGAGCAATCCGGGGATGAGAGCTGAGAGGTTTGGAGTTGCTAGTGGTTGTTCCCAAAACTCGCTCCAAGCCATGGGGCAGGAGAGGACAGGAGGTCTAACTAGTGAAACAGAGTGTAATCAGCTTGGTGAAAGGGATGAAAGGACTGAGGACTGAACCCAGTGCTTGAGAAAGACCCTGTGTTGCTGTTTTTACCACTGACATTTTTTATGGCATTGCTCCAACAACGGGGATACAGGCATGCCATTGATGAAGTCTTATGCTGCTTGTGGATAGACAAACATAGGCTTTGATCCATAACCTGACAGATGCAAAGGGACTGGGGTCCTTTGCTCGCATTCGTGATTTATTCCAGCACAGAGGTCCTTCCTTATGAATGAAAATTCAGAACTAAAACCTTAAAATCTCTGCAGCTTGAATGCAATGGTACATATGCTCCTAAAGAAAGCTATTATATTGCAGGCAAGTGGGAAACCTGCTTCTCATAGACAGTATATAAGTTCTTCTCTCTGCCAAATGATGCTGAGCGATGTATAAAGGAACTACTTTATGTGTATTTAACAATAATCTAGAATTTAGTTTGTTTGAAATGGCAGGATCAGGATAATCTATTGCTTACCATCTGCTTTTATTAATGTATAATAGGAAACACATTATACTGGAAAACAGAACTTGCTTCCTTTTATAGAGTTAGAGTTTCTTCTGTTAAGTGACTTCCCTTGGCAGCTATAACCTCTCCAACAGATGGCCACTTGTTTGGCCATGACCCCTTTTGGTTCCAGACTTGATAAAGACTGGATATTCTGGCCAATAGCCGGCTTTTTGTACAAGAACACTTCCATTTGAATAGATGATTGCCAAGTTTTAATGGTCCTTTGCTGTGTGCTTGCACAGCCACTGGGGAGTGAAAGTGAAGGCACGGATTGGTTTTGTGGAATTAGTTGTTAGGTACAGGTACAGGTGGAGCATTCTTCATACCAAAGACATGCGCGAAATATTCCTGAAGTCCCTCGGGCCATCATGGGAACACCCTCAATGTTTCCTGGGTTCTGACTGATGGGTACCTCAGTTCATGGATTTCATGGCCAAAAGGAGGTGACTGTGAGCTTAACCTTTCCAAGAGGACATGCATTTTGGTTTGGATTTAGTGTTTTAAAGCTGGTTTTAAGCCAGATAAATTCCCAGGTCAGATTCATTATGCCCCAACGTGATTCATTGTGCAGCTCTTCAAACAGCTAATGCTGGCACACTTGAATAAGGGGGCGAGCGCTCTGTGCTGTAAAGGTGGAAACAAGCAGCCAGGTAGATGCTGGGAATACTGTCAGCCAAAATATTGCTGCTGAAGTCTTCATCTTATGAAAACACAGCCTCTGTCTCATCAGCTGTCAAACCGGTGATTCCTGAATCCAGTCCATAATTTTCATTTGAGCTAGGGCTTAGCTTTTGCAAAGGTGTTCAATCATGATTTTAAAGACTCCAAATGACAGAGCATCCGCCATGTCCCTAGGCAAGCCATTCCGGTGATTAATTACCTTCACTGTTAAAAATGTGCACCTCATTACCAGCCTGCATTTGAAATTCAAAGTTGTTCCAGCATTAGAGAAGGCTTATTGAAACACCAATCTAAATAAATAAATGGGATCCTGCACATTCAGATCTAAATTAAAAAAGGAAAGATGGAAAGAGAGAGGGGGGGAGTGATTGATTCTGGAGATGATCTTTTTTCCTTTTTTTTTTTTTTTTTTTAGCAGAAGTCCATAAATTTCTATAGTTTTCCCTATAATTGTCAGTTACAATCAATAGAATATATTGACTGTTTCAGGAAAGGTTATAAATCCTCACTAAATTCCATAGGCTTCACCCACAACAGACTTGAAGAACCTAACTAAATTTCTAGGGAACTACATTGCCTCGGTCGCTACTTAATCCTTTAGGATGTTCCCTGTAAGAGATATAGGCTTGTACTTGGCAGTTTGTCAACTAAACAATTACACAGTCTCCATAAATACTAGTTTTTGTTAGTTTTATAGATTTCTCTTCTTTTTTCCTTTCATCATTTTGTGTCAGTTTATATATTCCAAAAGAAATTCAATTTATTTGAAATACAGTAGGGTAGAAAAGAAAGGGTCAGATGTCTTCAAAATGACACTTCCAAATGGAATGTATAGTAGAAAGCAGAGTGGGTAGGCTCATGAGATTAACTGTAGGATCGGGATTTTTTTAACAAGATCAAGTGGCTGAAAGTTGGAGTGAGAAAAGCTTCTACTGGAAATAAGATGGACATTTTTTTGACAGCTGCAATGATTAAGCATGGGGAGAGATCACCACTAAGGATGTAGCAAATTCTCTGCTGCTTGGCATCCAAAATCAAAGTTAGATGTCTATGTAAAATGTCTATGCCCTAGTTCAGCCTTAGGTTAACAAGCTACACGTAGGGATCAGTGGGTGAGATATTTTACCTGTATCATTATTGTAATAATCCCTTTCAGGCTAAAAAGCCATGAAAAGAACCTTTCCTTTCTCATAATCCAACCTAAAGCCATCCACATTTGTAATGGCTGAAATTCTCATATTTTGAACAAGAGCTAGCTGACATTTTCCATTCAGAGCTTCATGAGTCTTTCCTGTGCAGAGTGATGTTCAGCTGCCTTGGTGCTGATGAAGGAGCTGGTCTGATCAGATGCATCTCTTTTTCTCTTCTCAGCTTTGCAGCCAAACATCCTCTCCTTCCCTCAGCAACAGGGCAGCCTTCTCCTCTCCCAACCGGGACCCAGTCTGGCATCACAGGTAACTTTGCTCAAAATTGCCTCAACGTTCAGTCCAACATACAGTCCCACCCTGAGAAACACCCATCTACAAAAAATGCTCCTTCATTAAGGACAAATGGCAGAGAAAATTGTGTGCTTTTCTGTTGTGATGCTATGCATCTTTTTTGCTGTTTTAACAGGCTGTGGGCCGTTCTGGACTCCCTGGCTCATCGGTTGAACCCCACCTGGACGTACCCCAGCATTTGCAAGTGGCAAAGCACCTAACTCCATCAGGAGCATCTGAGGAACCCAGTGACCTGGAGGAGCTAGAAAAGTTTGCTAAGACTTTCAAACAAAGGCGAATCAAATTGGGGTTCACACAGGTGAGCAGCCCCGTCAATGGGAAGGTTGGTGTCACTTGTCATGTGGACATGTTGGGCTAGGGGAGTTTGTGGCAGAGGTGTGGATGGAGGAAGGCCTGGGTTAGATACCGTTTGGCTTTCTTTGGAGCATCTCCTTCCAAACACATGAAGAGACAAACTCTGCCTAATACTTCATTACCATGACTTCATTATCTGCACCTTTGTCAATACACAAAGGCTCAGGGGTGTGGAACAGACTCCGGTGGGAAGTCACTTTCTCTGGAAGCCAGGTCATGGAAACTAGGCTGCACCTATTCTGGAAGCAGCCTGAGAGGTGCTCTGACAGCAGGAAGCTGTGAGGGTTTTTTCTGAGCTCATGTTGTGATTTGGATCTTCCCTGGCAGGGTGATGTTGGACTTGCCATGGGGAAGCTCTATGGCAATGATTTCAGCCAGACCACCATTTCCCGCTTCGAGGCTCTCAACCTGAGCTTTAAGAATATGTGCAAGCTCAAACCCCTGCTGGAGAAGTGGCTGAGTGACGCAGGTAGGTGACATTGCGTGCAGAAATGCCACCAGTCTTGGCCAGCACATGAGAGGATCCATCCAGGAACCTCCAGTAAAAGCCAGGAAAATCGGAGCTGGAGCTAAGACCTCTCAGATCCGTGGCTGGGCTGGTAACAGACTGCTTTTCTCTGCGGATCACACAGTGGGATGCGCAGCAGCCTAGGTATCAAACCACATCTGTCCTTTCACTCTGGCAATACGGGATTCACATTGCAACTGGTGTCTGGGGCAGTCCCTTCCTGCATCACCTCTTGCTCTATTGCATGGTCTGGGGCAAATTGCTGGGCTAGTCTGTTCAGTCCCTCCCCATGTAAACTGGAAAGAGTAGGAAATGACTCCTCCTAAAGTGCTCAGAGATCATCCCGTGAGCAGTAATTAGAAAAGGAAGAGATCACTGCAAGGGGAATCCCCGGTAGCAGCAGTATCGGGCTGGTGTCCTCTGCTGGCTGCAAACCACTGCAGGAGCGGCGTTAGTCCCGCGTGCTGCTTCACCCAGCCCTTCAGGAGTTGCATGTTTGACCAATTTATGTCAGGAGGTGTCTCAGCTACGTGAGGCCTGATCCCAGTGGTGTAAGTCAACATCTTTAACTGTGTGAAATTAAATAATTGGAAAATGCATGGTGCCCATCAGAGGAGGCTGGAAATCAAGAGTGTGTTGACTGAATTTTAGCATCGTATTTCTTTCCTGATTTGGACAAGATCACTGATGGATTTGGGACTGTTGGAGCAATTTTAATCATCATCATCAGAAGGATCCACAATGTAGGAACGTTTTACTTATTTTAGGAGGTGCCATAGTTCCCAGAAAGGATCTAGGAATGAAAAGAACTCATTATCTTCTTGAATATCTCTCTTCTCCTCCCTCTTTCCACAGAATCTGCACCTTTGGATTCGTCCATGAGCACTCCCAATTCCTACCCCTCAGTGAATGAGATGTTTGGACGGAAAAGAAAGAAGCGAACCAGCATTGAGACCAACATTCGCTCCACGCTGGAGAAAAGATTTCAAGATGTGAGGGGAAAAATCTTCCAATGTGTTGTGAACTCTCTCTGAGTTCGGCATTTGCTAGGTTATAGTAACACTGAATCCGCAAAAAAAGAGTTCTCTTTGTTTGTTTGTTTGTTTTGATAGTAGGTTTGAAAATGCTTGAAGGGGTTAACAGGAAAAGTGTCAAAACCAAAGAAATAGGACCCAATGATTTCCTTGGTAAATGTTGTTTTAAAGGAATTGCAATTTCATCACCACACCTCCCATTATCTTCCACTAAGCAGTGCCCTAGCCAGAGCTGATCTGCACCCACCTCTTCTCTTTGCGAGCTGCGGGCATGTGTCACGGGAACTGTGTGGCCACGGTGCAGCACAGAAATGGATGCCCCCTTAAGCAGGGGCTTCTGAGACCACAGAAATAGTCGCTCCAGATATTGCTGCCGAATCATTTCAGAAGTGGAGCCTTTTGATTTTTAAGCACCAAGATTTTCAAGAAAAATCACTACAGAGAGCGAACAGAGCTTTAAATCAGTAGGACTAACTTGTCAATTGAAAATTTTTCATCAAAACTGTTTTTGACCAGCTCTCATTTTTTCTTGGTTTCTCCCTCATATCTGATCATATAAAAATTTCCTCCTGCGACTGTTAATGAGAAAAAAAGACAATCATTGTCAGATCATTATGGGCACCTCCTTTTTAGCTAGTGTGAGGCATTCTTTGTAATGGGAAAACTGTCTTGGCATCTCTGTGCTAGGTGTTTTTGACTCTCAAGTCTCCAACTCAGATCAAAACCCATAGAGCTAAATGCTGTCAAGTGCACCGAAAAATAAGTGACTCAGAAGAAAGGTTAGGCCCTATTATTTCCCTTTATAAATGAGGGATGGCGGAAGAAAGAGAAGCAATGGCTCTTCTGAGATGGCGCAGGTAGGCGTACAAACAGCACTCACAGCTTGTGTGTCCTGTGTAGCGATAAGAAGACCACCAGTCATTAGCTTCCCCCCAAGCAATGATTTAGGGTGCTGTTAAGATCAAAGAGCGTGGTGCTTCATGCAATAACAGGGCCAGGTACTGTGACTCATCCCCCACTGATTCCATGAGACTTGATGTTGAATCAGAGGCACTTTCGGGTTCACAGAACATAATCTCTCACCCAAATATTTACCTTTTGTCTTAGAAGCAAATTTTCTCCCCTCCCCAGTTTACAGCCAACACCAGTACCCTCGTCCTCTGCCTTTCCAGCAGCAGAATCATCCTTGATGCTGTAAGTTACAGCTCTTTTGAGGCTTTCTTTAACCTCCTGCCCTTTCTCAGCAGAACCCCAAGCCCAGTTCAGAGGAGATATCCTTGATAGCAGAGCAGCTCTCCATGGAAAAAGAGGTGGTTCGGGTCTGGTTCTGCAACCGGCGCCAGAAGGAAAAACGGATCAGCTGCCCGATGCCATCCCCCATCAAATCACCTATCTACAATTCCAGACTGGTGAGAGACTTTGGATTAAGGAGTTCTACATGCCATCCCAGACGAGAAGGGAAAAGGCTGGGGGGTCGCAGCAGGGTTTGCTGGAAAAGGAAACAAGCCAGGACACTTCCTTGTGCACACAAGTCCCTGAGTTGCTGGCAAGCCCGCTCCACAGTCCAGTGCGGGATTACACCTGCAGGAGTGTGCAGAGAGGCAGCTGGGGTAGTCATGGATTGGGCATATACTCAACACCCCAACTTGAATGGAATCTCGTGCCTGCACTTACAGAACATTTATTTTCATTGTATTAATGGAAACAATAGAAATACAAGTTTCCTAGAAGGTACAGGTCAGTTTAATTGTAGGATAATTTATCCAAATAGGGGTGCTATCTCAAAACTTTTCACCCTGAGATTAGTAAATAAAAGCTTTCCAAAGTTAATACAGAAGGAATCAGCATTCCATGGAACAAGAATTACAGCCACTCATGTAAATTTAGTTGTTAACCCTGAAACCTAATGGTAACCATTTACATATCAGTTTGTTGTTTTACATCTGTGCAGAAATGCAGAATGCAATGCAGTAGTGCTAACTGTCCTTCTCTCATGTTGCACATTCACATTTTGGCAAGTATATTTTTATTCCCAGGAAGGATGAGGAAAAGAGAAACTGTTGTGAGAAGTTGGTGAAAGCATGTCCTTGTAATCTACTGTCAGTGGCTACTGTGGATAACAAGCTACTATTGCATTTCTGCTAGTTAATAATTGCTTAGTTGCTTCCACGTATAAAAGTGGCAGGAACCTCCCTATGGCATTATTAGTGCTGGAGCACACATGAGTGGGAGGGAGAGTACACATTCACAAGCAGTATTTTATCTTGAAATCTTCTGGGTTTTGGAATTATCCATCAGAAGGCAGGAAAACATCACAAGAAGTTTGGTCACTTGTTGCACAACACATTTGGTCTACAGTCACAAACACAAAATGCTGCTTGCAAGCCATGAATTTTTAAAGCCGTAGCTTTGGTGAATAGTTTTCTTCTGAATGCATTGTACAAAGTATGCCTTTGCTCATCAGTCATTCTGACCAGCATGTCGCCTGTAGTTAAAGTATCATGGTTGAACAACAAATGCCCCAGGCTTGCTTTGATTGCAGCCACCAAATGACTAATTGTCACCTGAGAATTCTCACCCATCAGTAACTCCCTAAAGGAAAAGGGATTATTTGTGCCCAAGACCAGAGCAAGCTGGGAAGTTTCAGACTAGGAGCATCCAGTCTGAAACATCCAAAGGGCAGTGGCTCCTATCAACTGGATCTTGGGACATCCAGAAAGTTTGGCTTGTGTTTGATAATTTCAGGCTTCTCCATAACTGATCCATAAATTTAGACCTGTGTAGAGAGTGTCACGCACATGTAATACTCATTCTGGTTTCTCTCCATGGCCCTGGTTATGGGAATGGTGCTTCTACCCTACAGTAGGAACAGAAATATCTGTGGGAGCCTCAGATGTAGATAAGAAGCCTGCCTGGGAGCCAGCACACTCTAAAGGGAATGTGAAAGGAGTGGCACTTTGTGATCTGTACCCTCATAGTGCCAACTGCTTACTGTTTGCTTCTGTTTCTCTCTAGGTCTCTACCTCAGGGTCCTTGGGGCCCCTCTCTGTCAATCCAGTGCATAGCACTATGCCTGGGACTGGTAAGCCTGGAGAAACCTGCCTCGCCATTCCTTCCCTCCTTCCTCTGCCCTTGCTCTCTGACTACTTGGTTTCTGGGTTGCACTCGCAGGCCACTTAATAAGACCCTTGGGTTTGGCCAGGGAAAGTATCCCCCCCCCGTAACTAGTGTACATAAGAACAGCAGAGTCTTTCTCTTGGCTGGAACAAAAACATGGAAATCTTCCTGGGCATGATAACACTCCCAGGATAATCCTAGGCAAATTTTCCTGGGGTGTTGAGGTTTGGGAGCCAGGCACACCTAGAAGCCAAACAAGAGGAGTGCTTGGGGGGGTAGGTTACTGCATTTCTTTGGCAGAATGTTGTCAGAACTCCTTTGAGAAGCGTGATTCACAGTAATAGAAACCAAGCGCTATGGAGAGAGCAGTTCTGGAGAGCCCCCCACCTTCTCTGTGGCTGGGGCACAGATTCTGCCTTGCTGCTGCAGGGCAGAGAGTGAATCAGATGAAAACAGGGTGGGTACAAGATATGGTGGAAGTGTTTGGGCTTGGGCTGTCCTTGGCAGGAAAAGGAGATCCCAGCCTTATTCTGCTTTCTCTGCTACACAGTAACATCATCGTGTTCCCCAGGGAACTCCAGCAGGCCCTCGTCCCCTGGCAGTGCACTCCATGCCAGCAGCCCCGGCACAGCCCAGAGCAACTCCAAAGCTGCAATGAACTCATCCGGTTTCAACTCTTCAGGGTAAGGCAGCGGGGGGCTCACAGCTTGCTCCTTGGCAAGGGCGTCAGAGGGCTTGGGACAAAAGCGACAGAACCTTAGAGAAGAATGTGCAAGCCCTTAGACTCCAGCAACATGGAGCTACGTGGTGGCACGTTCTTACATGAAGCTTCACATCTAACCTGAAGCTTCTTGGGATATGGTGGTTTTTTTCTGCTTGAAGGCAAATAGTAAACCAATTTTTGCCTGAAAAACTGTGCTGCTTAAAAAAAAGGGCGGGGGTGGGTGGGGGGTGGAAACTAAAAACAACCAACCAAAAACCGGAATAGAAACACTGGCCATAAGGACTGTCCTAAACTAATTCCTTGTGTGAAGAGAGCAGAGGAAGGCTTATTTTGCTGTTTCTGCTTGGATAACCCCCTCCACAGCCAGTTTTCTCTCCTGCAGTGCCACCCAGAGAGCTCTGCTGCAGGTAACTATCCCACAGTGGCAGATGAAACAAGAACAAAGATTTTCCTCTGCCTTGCCTTTAAATGCTACACAAGCATTAAGCCACACATATGGGCTCAGAGCCCTTCTGGTTATTTCACTGAACATGCCTCTGCCACAGTCTGTGCTGCTCAGGCCTTTCTGCACTTGTAGTTTCTGCTGCATCACATCGCGGATGCTGTGTTAGTAGGAAGGCAGCGGAGAGCAGAGGGCGTTACCCATAGCTGCTGGGCTTTCTGAGTCATGGATCATCCTGTGCCGTGAATCAGACCTCCTCTTACATGGAGGAAGTCCAACAGCCAGGTAGTATGTGAAATCACGAGCGCAATGGAAGACGTTGCTTGGAAAGACAGGAGGTTTGCTATGAGCTTCCTATAGGAGCAAAGGATCATTTGCTGGCTGCCAAGTCAAAGTAAGGTTACAAAGGGAATAACAACGCTTTTTATTTCAAGGGGAAACTGTTAACAACATGGCAACTGTAGCTCTTATTCCCTGTGTTGCAAACAGATCTTGGTACCGATGGAATCAACCTACCTACCTCCACTGAGATGACTCCTCCATCATGTGTAAAAGGAGCTCTGACTTCTAGCTATGGACCAACTTCTCTAGGAACAATGCTTGGGGCAACATCTGGTGTTCCAGTGCCTTCAAAATGCTGCCAAATGAAGGTCTTGCTTAAGGGAACCCATAGCAGCAGAACTCTCCAGGGACTCAAACTGCAGCTGACCTTCCCCAAGGATTCCCAATGCCAACAGTGACATTGTAATACTCTTCCAGGCATTCACTTCAAGAATGAGCCCTTGCTTAGCACTCTTAGCATGAAACACTGCCCTCTGCTTGCAAATCTCTGCATTCACACTGGATTGCCTGGCAATCTCTATCTGGAAGGATTTCTATGTCAGGACCCTCTTTTCCCCTCACTCATTTCAGACCTTCCCATAAGAAGGGTCTATCATGCTGTTACTATCACGCACACATACTATAAACCCCCAAACTGAGCCGAGGTTACCCAGTTCATTTCACCGGAGACCTGTGTCTAGATGTGAGCCTTGGTTTTCAATAGACTTCCAAGGTCAATGGCACTGTGCTTTATCCACTACAAAACTTGCTTTGCTTTGAGCCATTCTGCTCTCTTTCTAAAGGTGTCTTTTTTTTGTTTCTTTTTTCTTTCTTTTTTTTTTTTTTTAATTAAGTATTTTAGAGCCTTCTCATTTTTTCCTTTTAAAAAAATTGTTGTCTTTTGCAAAATTTGTGTCCAGGTCTTGTTATTGTTCACAGCTGGCCTCACTGCCCCACTGGAGGACGTCACTGTTCAAAAACCTTGGGTGAACTTCCGACTCTATTGAACACAAAAGCAGTTTGTGTTGATTTGATGGGACAAGGATTAGTCTTGACCTCCTCTTCTTTCTTTTATTCATCCTTTGGGTTTTATGTGATACCAAACGAAAACAGCCTCTCTGGAGTAGAGGCGTGCATGTGTTCTGGTCTTTCCTGAATTGTAAGTAATGTAGCTTGCCTGTTCTCTGCAGCGTGCTCTTCTGTTCTTGGGAGGACAAGTTGTATTGCTCAGGTGTGAACCTTGAGGTTTGTGTGTGCAAGTGTTTCTTAATTTCATGAGATGCCGAAGTGCAGGAAATGTCAACTTTCACAGCATATCACCAGGGAAATTGCTGTTACATTGCAACTCTCCACTTGAAAAGAGGTAGATATTTAATTTTGTTAAAGTAGACTTGAGTAATACAAATTCCTGGTCAGGTTGTCTATGGGTACAAGTAATTAATTCAGTGGAACTAGAGTATCTGGTTCACAGGTTGTAAATAGACATTTTTGAGTAGTAGTCTTTTATTCTGATGGCTTTTTTTTTTTTTTAGGTAAATGTGAGCTTTTTTTTTTTTTAAAGTAAAAATTATCCTTTGTCCCTTCTGGGGGAAAAAAAAAAAAAAAAAGAATCCGTTGTTTCTTAACCTACTCCTCCAGTCCTGTGTGATGAATTATTGCTATAGGGAGTCTGTGGACCTTAAGAGTTTATCTGCTACCTTCACACAAAGTATTGAGCCCTACATGCACATTGTATATAGAACCGCATTTGTTGCTTTGAGTGAGGTTTTGTTATTGAAGCAGACACTGATAATAATGAAAGGGGACTGGAAAATATAACGTAATGTTTCTTGAAAAATGGAAATTAAGAAAACTATTTCTTTTTTTTTAAATACTAAAGTAAGTTTTTTCAAAATGTTCTAGCACAAAAAAGGGAGAAATTGTATTTCTGTTTCCTGGATTCCCCACCACCACTCATTTACCTCTAACTAAAACACTTTCATCATCTCTGTTTTTCAGTGGAAACATTAAAATTAAATGAAACGGGTTTTTTTCAACAAAATCTGTTGTGATTTAAAAAACATTTTATGCTGGGAAAGCAAGAAATGTAGATGGGAAGTATTAATCTAACTCTCCTGATTGCTATGGCCCTTCTTTCTGCCCTTAATTAAATTTTCTTACATGCTTGGAGGGTTGATTTCAAGCCTTGCTCTCCATTGCTTTCCAACTATATTTGGAGATGTGAAACGAATTATTTGAATATAATCATTCTAAAGCTAAGCTCTGACAGGTTTGGCACAGCTGCATGGGGGGGCGTTTCTTGGCAGATTTCTGAAGGTTCCCATTACTGGCTCGAACAGGGACTTCCCTAAGAGAACGGTCTTCTCCAGCTAGAGTGACGGGAATTAAACATGATCACTTTTTCTGTGGTGTGCCTTAATCACGGGGTTCTTAAGGAAAAAACAAATTTTCCTCCAGCCAAGAGAATGATACTACAACAGTATTTTAAAACAACTGTGCTACGACAACCGTGTTTAAACTCAGCTAGCTGTTCGCTGGGTCAGCTGCAGGGAGGGATCGTGCCAACGTGCCCTCCCTGCGCCAACTCACCCCGGCCATTTGCCTCCATGATCGCTTGCAATGGTGGGCGCTCAAAACGAGCCAAGGCAAGCTCTGCAGACGCCGAGCAATACCTGCTCAGCTCCCGGCCCGCGCTGGCTCTGTCCTGCTGGAAAAGCCTGCGTGATCGCTGCCAAACGCTAGTAGCGGAAGATCTCTAGAAATGAATGCACTCACATATACACAGCCAGCGACTGGTAACAGTTTTTATTTGCATGCAAGAGCTTTGTTACTGGATAGAGAATTGGGGTTGATACTATATTTAAGTATTTTGCCTGATTCATTTCCATTAATTTCACGTAAGCAGCTGAGTTAAACTGGCTGGGAGGCTGGTGTGGATGAGCATAAGGGATCTGTACTAAAATGGTGGAGGGTAGGAAAAACAGGAATTAACAAATCAGCAGAAATTTGGGTTGCTTTTTAACTAAAACATGCCAGTGTTTTGTTGGTTTTGCTGGAACAAAACCTTTCCAGAGTTGTGTTTCTCTCTTATCTGGTCTAAAAGATTAGGAAAAAAGTATACTTTTACACGAAAATTTCAAGTCTGTCATAGTTTAAAAAAAAAAAAAAAATCGGAAAACCAATCATTGACCTGCACTTGTGTGCAGATGAAGTGTGTGGGAGAAGCATTTTCCTCTCCTGTCTCTGGCTGGGATGGGAAGGGATAAACCCCACGGCGTACTAAGATGAGCCAATGCGCGTTGACGACTCAGTCATACCTGCCACGGCTGAACCCTGCCAGGTGCGTTGCTATGGGCTTGTGCCCTGGGAGGAGAGATGCCGTGAGCCCTAAGGGAGCGGTGTTGGTGATAACTGGCAAACTCATAACCCCTGCCTCAAGGAGCTGCCTTTCCTCTCAGGCCTTTCATTGGCACACCTCACTCCAGCTCCTGTGAGGGCTGGCCAATGCTATGAGAGGAGGATGAAGGATGAAATAATCTTTATTCATGCCAGCCTGAGAGGTGATTTGCATGTTCACTGAGTGTGCTGCACCCTATGAATAAAGTCATCGGGATTTGGATTTTGACCAAACAACAGCCTTGGCCAGGGATGAAAGAGAGGGGTGGCTGGCTGTTGCTCTGTAATTATAAAGACCCCTTAAGAAGCTTCCAGCTTTTTAAGCGGTAATCTTACAATCCTTATTCAAAGCCAGTTCTGTATGAAAAAGATGTTCTAGTGCCATGAAGGGTGAAGGGATCTTGCTCCAGCCTCTCCCTCCTAAGATACAGACCTTCTTAAAATTAATACTCTACATAATGGAAACAAGTGCATCACAGGATGGCATGCTGCTAAGACAATGACACTCACTCTCTTTTACTTTTTTCTTTTTTTTTTTTTAAATTTTGGCTATTATGAATATTTAAAGATTATCAGATAGGAAGAATGTATTTAAACCACCAGTCTGTGCCTTTGGGACACCCTATCTTATTTCACTTCCTGCATGACCTTGGACAAATGACTTAATCCCCATTAGGCCGTGGTGATGATAATCCTTCCCTTCTCCCAGTCCACAACTTGTGCTAAATAGCATAGTTCGTGAATTACAGCTGATTCTGCTGCCAGCCATCATAGAAGACATTTATTACACTGACCCTCGGCAAAGCTCTAGATTCCAGTTTGTTTCTATTGTGAAAAATCTCAAGTTATTTCATAAGTTAGAAGCAATTATTTACAAGCTCAGAAGTGACCGCTCTGATCACCTTTATAACCTTAGCCTGCAAATTTTACCCAGTAATTCCTGTATTAATCCTACACCTGGTAGCTGAGCTGTAACTTGGCTACTGATTTCAGTCAGTTGACAGCCTACTTCAACACTTGGTAAAGGCTCCCAGAGGTTTGCGAGCCTCTTTGTCAAAAGAGACCAAAAATGAAGTTGTGAAAGGCAGCTTACTATTTACAATAATATATTTATGAGTTACTGTACATGTATACACTCTTACAGTATAGAGAAGATACATCAAGATCTGGCTCTGAACTGACAAGGACTATTCCATTTAATTTTCAGAAATTCCGCTAAGCAATTTGCTCCCGCAAAAGCAGCACTATATAAATTTTGGAATATTATTTCTGAAAGCTGGGAGGGAAATTACAAATGTATTGAATGCTGAATAACGGAACCTGCACATTAGTATTGCAGCTGAGATCAAAGGCAAGCTGTGCCAGGTGTTGTGCAAACACATCATGAGAGTTGATCTCCACTGAAAAGTTTATAAACACACTAACAAGTCTCTCAGATTTATTGATAAACTGGTCCTGAATAGGAAAACAAACACTAGCAGCTTGTTTGTTTCACAAAAAGCTAGTTGGAAGGGAAAGGTCTTCATTCTTCATTCAATGGTTGGACTGAATGATCTTAAAGGTCTTTTCCAACCTAAACGATTCTATGATAAATGATTCTATGATTCCCCTGTCTTCTAGAAAAACTTCCAGTGTCACAGGAGCATCTAAGGGATTAAAAATTGACAGAGCAGGAAATTCCAGCTTTCCAAGACTAAGAGTCACCTCCCACAGCCATAGACAAACAAAGCAGGGAACAATTGCTCACAAGCAGATGTGTCTCACAGCAGCTATGAGAACTCAGGTAACCCCCTGAACAGCCTATCTGCACGC